TCTTTCCCTTTTGGGAGTGGGGGAAAAGGGTTAACAGAGAGCATCTGTTATGGCTCTGGGGGCTGCCCTGACCCCAAACCATGGCAAGCCTTCACAAGCATAAAACTATAATAATGTACTTGCCTGATCCTGCAGAAAAAGGATTTCACCTGGGCATATTCATACAGAGATGCTAATAAGGAGAACACACATTGAAAGTATCAGTTAGTATCCTGAGAAAGTTCACACCTACCAGAACTATTTTAAACTCTGTATTCTCTGGACTTTCTGAGCAAGACTGAAGTCTCATAACCTGCTATTTGCTAGTTACTGAGTTAGATGTTCAACAGTCTTCTCCCACCTCAAATATTCTCTCTTCTCCAGCCCACTCATTCTTGGAGAAATGGCTGGCCTGGAAATAAATCCAGAGGAACCACTCACGATCTAAAAAACTCCTTGCCCCAGTTTATCACTACAGAAAGGAAAAGTGAAAATTCCTGGCTTTATGAACCATGTACCAAAAACTATACACATGAGTTATGGAGAGAAGAAAACTCAGTAACAGTTCACAGCAAGAAAATAAGAACTCTGTACAGGCACCCCTGCTCTGCTAGGTAGGCACATGACTGGCTTCCAAGTTATGGAATACCCTGGCACTTTAGTGTTAACAGCCTCCAATTTCCCACACTCATTGGTAGCAAGGATTTTGGACCTCCCAGCCTTGAGGCCAGAACAGCCCACAGCTAGGTGGGCAAAATATATGGCCTTGGCATGCGAGTTACATTTGAACAAATACAGGACTCAAAAGTCACCATTTAGGCACATCCAGCACTATAGAGAAAGTCAGTTTAAAACTTAGGTTCAGTGAGCTATGTTTATAACAGGCTACAAGCAGATCATGAAGCACTTAAGCAACTGGAAGTTGAAGATTAACTTTTAAACTCACAGTCAGACCTTCAATTTCTTTTCAAAAAGCAGTAGTATTTGTAATGATTAAGATGATACACAAAACAATACTTTTTACTTACCCCAAGTAAGAGTTAAGGCTCTAGCAGACTAGCTAGGACTAGCTGCATAAGGACTTGAGTTTGCCTGGGGGATACATATTGCTAGTGTGTTTAAAACCAACAACTATTCTATCCTGATTCTGCAAAGACAGAAAGACACAAAGTATTTAAGAGCATTGCTGAGACCCACCTGTTTGACTTTCCATGTTCCAAAGTGGCAGGTGGGACTGATCAGTGTGTGTGTAGAACACACTCACATCCTGAGGGGCAAGCAGCTCTACAAACCGGGAGGAATCCAACACTTTCTTCTTACAGTTCAGAATGGCCGCTGCCTGCTCAGAAATATGCACTATGCGTCCAGAAAGCAGGGAAAATACAGCCACAAATGTGTCCTGGAAAACAAACACTGTTAAAAGCAATCCTCCCCCAACACATGGTAGCAGTATTATAAGGATAAAAAACCAAAACCAAGCCAATCCCAAAACAAACACACCAACCAACCCCAAGCCACCACACACCAGAACCTAAGACAGAAGTTAAAAAACATATTAGTGTCCAGTTTAAGCTGTGCATAAGCTCCTACAATCTCCAATGCTACAGTAGGAGCTTACTCATGATTTACAAATGCTAGTAGAACTGCAATATCAAAACTGAAACAGATGACAGTGATGTATTGCCCAGAATGACTGGTTATCACATTTCCCCCCAACCTTCAGATTATTAACAGTTCCACATACAAAAATACTAAGAGAATTTTTAGAGTAGAAAGCATTTGCCATATTTCTGATACGGCATCTAACAATACTGAATCTCAAAAATTCTCTTTTCTTTGAAGCAGAAACAGGCTGAAAAATACTGCAAATCCAGGGGAAAAAAATAATCCATGACTACAAATAGAAATCAAAGTCCCTCACAACTTAAGGACTTGATCAGCATCAAAAATTTTCTGCTAATTCTGTCTCAAGAGATGACTATGCTGTAAATTCTCAGATACCTATCACTTCTGGCAAACAAAAGGTATTTCTTCACTTAACGCTATTTGGTGCTTCAAGTCAGCACATACAAAAAGGAGTCTATCATTCCTTAAAAACGCACAAGGCCCGTCTGACTAAACCTTAAAGGTTTTTAAATTTTACACATTCTACTTCCACAAAATGATGTAAGGAGACTAATAGTCCTTGAGTGTGCCTGAATTCCTTACAGTATTTTTTGGAGTGTGTTCAGATGCAACTGCCACCAACTCTTCTATGCTGTATGTCATCACATCTGTTTGAAATACTCTTCGGTCATTCAGAGCCTGGAAAAAGTCATTGTTTGCTAATTGGGAAAAAAAAAAAAAAAAAAAAAAAAACAAACAGGAAAAGCAAAACAAACACAAGGAAGTCAGTAAGAAGACTATGTTGAAAATATTTCTTACAGCCCTTGTACTTTTGTCATCTTTTTGGTGAAGTCCAATGTGAGATGAGGAAGGTCTGCATAGTGACAAAGGAAAAAAGGAACACTGATTATACTACTGGAGAGACCTATTTATGTTACAGAAAATGAGCATGTGGAAGGTAGAAAGGACAAAATGTGATGGCAAAAGAACAAATTTAGCTACTTAGGTCTGCTGGAAAACACACGCTATCTGATAATTTTTCTAAGTGAAAGGGGAATGCTGTTTTTTCAATATCCACAACAGTAGGTGGGCATCTCAATACAAAAGATAACGCGATCTTTTAACAAAAAACCCCACAATGCTTCAGAAAGTCAACTGTTTGCTGGATAACTGGAAAGCTTCCATTGGTTTTATGTTGCCAGATACCTCTGTTCAAACCCAGCTGCTGTACGGCTTCTATGCTTCCAGATTTTTTCCACACATACCTTGGACCTGCTGGACACACTGCAAGGCATAGTTGAGAGCACTGATGGTACTGGGCTTGCTGGAAATCCTTTTCTCTTCCGGCAAACACCTTTTCATTTCTTGAATCATCATCATCATATCTCTGTGAGACTGGCTCCAATTCAGCTGCTCACTGTAAGACAGAAGTTTAACTTTGCCAGAGGCTTCTGGTCTAGGAGCTTCTTTTCTGTCAATTAATTTAAATTATTCCTGAAATTAACATTTTATGGGTTTGGCCGCCGAGTCACAAAATATCTGGAAACATCTTAATGCTCATTCACTGTATTTCCTGTTGTATGCTTCTTACTTCTTTGGTAGTTGATCTTTTAACTTCTACCATCCTCCTTTCGAACTCCAACATGCCATGGATAGCAAAGTCACATCATAACCATTCTGTTTAGCAAACAAAACTAAGTGGATATTTACTATAAATTTTATAAACATCCCTGGTACTAAAGTCATGAATAGAGAATGATTCTTTATGGCTATGTTTTTCTAGCCTTGAAATCTGCACCTGATTATACACGCTTCAGGGAAATGCAAGGTCCTCAAAATACACCTGATGCAAAGCTTTTGTTCTTCACATGATTCCAGAATCTGCATTATACTTTTAATAGAGCCACTGGCCTCAACGGCTGCAAGGCGATTTACAAGCAAAATCTCGTTCTTCTTTTGCTTATTTCACTGACTGAAAGATAAGCATTCAATGTCCTCAACAGCCAGATCGATTCTAATCCTACAGATGAGATATCAACACTGTTACTTTAACTAACTTTTGTCCATTTGGCATTTTCATTAGTATCGTACTCTTACTATATATATCACTACGTAAGTTCAAATATTGTTTGTAAGGTTTACACACCAGTTCAACACTGCATAAATTCTAGCTCTTTTTAAGTAAATAAAAAAAGTTAGCACCTCACTGAATTTCTGAACTTTTGAAAAAATACTACTTAAGTCTGCTTAGCCACTACTAATGCGGTCTTTATACTACCTAGAAGCCACAAAAGGGTCAAGGGTAGAATATGTATCAGATCAGTCAATCCAAGAATTAGGTGAGCAACTTAGGAGGGACGAGGCAGCAGCAATCCGATCGACATGTGAGACCATTACAAACATCACTGTCTCCAATTCAGGCAAGCTTCCTCGGTGCGCTGAATTAACCGAGCCCTTTGAACTCTGGATCACAGCTAGAGCAGGCCCTCGATTCGGACTTCAGCTCGCTGCTTAAGTCAACCACATCAATTCAAGCAGGACAATCGGTTCTACACACTCTCGAGTTACCTGCTAACTCTGCGTTGCCTCACGAAACTTTCAGCTGAACAGCCATTCGCCTCACGGCTGCACAGATCCTTCCTGCTGGCGTTCGGCCCGTTAAGCCGCTTCCCGACGGAGCTGGCGCCCGCACACACCGTGCAGCACAAACCCGCGTCCCGCCGGCGCCCTCCCTCCT